AAACCTCTTGATCTCTTGCTCTTTGTCTGTGTTTAGGTATGTGAGACGTTGGGAAAGCTTAGCGAGGATCGCTTGGCATGGCAGCTTCGGGCTCAAAAACTTTCGGGTCCCACAGCATCTTTCCCAGTCGGGACAAAGGAGGGTTTTGATTGGTCCAAGGCCTGTTTGGAAATGGAGCAGCTGATTGGCAATGTTATTACAATTTAAAATAACTGTTTTCTATTTGAATATATTTGAAAACATAATTTATTCCAGTGATCAAAGCTGTATTTTCAGCGTCATTACTCCAGTCTCCAGTGTCACATGATCCTTCAGAAATCATTTTAATATGCTGCTCAGGAAACATTTATTATTATTATTATTATTAATGTTGAAAACAGTTGTTCTGCTTCATATTTCTGTGGAAACTGTGATACATTTTGTTTCAAGATCCTTTGATGAATAGAAAGTTCAAAAGCACAGCATTTATTCGAAATGGAAATATTCTGTAACATTATAAAGGTCTTTACTGTCACTTTCGATCAATTTAATGCATCCCTGCTGACTGGAAGTGTTAATTTCGTTAAAAAAACACCTCTTGAACTCTTGCTGTTCGTCTGTGTTTAGGTATGTCAGACATTGGGAAAGCTTGGCGAGGATCGCTTGGCGTGGCAGCTTCGGGCTCAAAAACTCTCGGGTCCCGCAGCATCTTTCCCAGTCGGGCCAAAGGAGGATTTTGATTGGTCCAAGGCATGCGTGGAAATGGAGCAGCTGATTGGCTGCTGGACAGGGCATGAGAATCAGGCAGAGAGACAGGAAGAGGCAGCTGGTGGGGTGAACGGTGAAGCGCCGGCAGCTGAGGGGAACTTGGTAGAGATGCAGCTGGATGTCGATTTAAGTGGTGCAGCGGAAGCAGGAGAAGAGAGCGTGCAAGTTCAATCCCAGAATGCCTCTGACAGTTCCCAGGTGATTGAGTCATCCAGCACTTCTTCGCCCTTGGAGCACGTCATCCTTCCTTCTGGCCACATTGCAGATGTGAATTGTGTCCTCCTGCTTATGGAGGACCAAACCTGCAGAAATAATAAATAAATAACAGGAAAATAAATAAATAAATGACTTGATAAAAAAAATATATAGTTCATTTGTAATAAAATGTAATCCTGAATTTATTTTTATGACCTTTTTCCTATATGTATTATTTTCTGTATTTATTTTTACATTTCTTTTTATTATTTTTAAGTTTTATTTACTTATTTATTTTTTATATTTATTTATTTATTTATTTTAAATGTATTTATTAATGCGTTTATTTATTTTTTTATATTTATTTATTCCAACATGTATTAATTTCCAGATTTATTTATTAATTTATTTATTTTTACTTTTCGTGTGCAGCATGGAAATGAGGGAGGCGGTCCTTGCGGAGAAGACTGAAGTAATGATGCTGAAAATTCAGCTTTGATCACAGGAATAAATTACATTTTTAAAACATATTCAAATAGTAAATTGTAATAATATTTCACAATATTACTATTTTTACTGTATTTTTGATCAGATTTGACCTGTTTATAACTGTATAGTTATTTTCGCTGGGAATTCAAAACATTTTTTTTTACATAAAAGAACAAAATATTATGGCACAATTCAGAATAATAGGATTTATGTATGCATGTATGTATTTTATAAATAAATAAGCCTATTATTCTATAGTTGTGCAGTTATACTTTTTCTTTTTTTATATAATTTGTTAGCAACTCAATATTCAGATGTGCATTTACCTTTTCACCGTTATTTATTACATAACCATGTAATGTGGCTATTTTTGAATAATCCAGTGAATTAAATATTTAAATCAAATGAAAGATACATTTCATTATATTCTCTGTCTTTATTTGGATTTTGATGGATGCAAACCAAAAAACTGGAATAAGTGCAAAAAGAGATTCACATTAACACTTGAATTAAAAAACAAAAGACTCAAAATACAAATGCATTATAATTCTGATTGGATGAGCCATGTTCTAAGCCATGCATGTTAACCTTTACTGTGTGTCTCATAAATACTTGTGTTGGATGATACCACTATTACTCTTATCTAGCAGTTATCTGTAATGCCATGCATAAATAAGTGACTTTTCTCTTCTCAGTTAAGTGTTGAAGGAGGAACGCTGGCCATCGCTTCCGGTGACATGAATGTGGAAGTTTGGAGGCCCAGATGCTGAGAGTCTCAAAGCATTTGATTGCAGGGAACAACAGGATCCAATCAGTTCTTCAACTCTGTATTTCCAGGAATTTATCAATTCATTATGCTTTAATTTGTTTCATTTTACTGGGGAAAAAAAAGATGATGAATGTTTTAGGTGTCTGATACATGTTTCTAGTGATTCTAGAAACTATATGGCATTCCCAGTTTTTCATCATTCTCTATGAAGGGGTCACACTACGAATGCACACGCAGAGTCCAAAACATTTCAGTGCCTCATAAGGAACACCTTTTGTGATCATTACTTGAACAATTCAACAAAATCAATGCTAATAATATACTTCGACTGAAGACTCTCTGAAGCACACACAGTATAGTACAGTAAAGTTAAATGAGTACAAACAAGAATCATTATAAAATAGTTTTGAGTATTTAGCTCTCTATATGTGTAGTACACTAACTAGGAAATCAGTTATTTAAAAATTTAAGTGTGATTTAAGTTCAATTTGTTTTTGTATACTTGTCAGTGTACTTCTACAAGTATACAGTCTACAATGTTTTAAAAAGTATGCACTTCATGACCAGAGCAAACTACTAAATAGCCTAATGTAAAATATTTATATTTATGAATTATGTATAGTTATTGCAGACAGTGCTGTTGTATTGTTCTGTGACTGACTGAATGTCCTTTGAGCAAATTCTCTTGTTTGTTTTTATTTTTAAAAAGCTTTATAAATGTACATTTTGATAACTCAGTTGGATTTGTGAAGGAGACGTTCTGAACGCTGCAAATAAACAGGGTTGATCCTGACAGCAGGTGCCGTTCACAGCAGCACGCACGTCTTCTTGTCTCTGAACGGGTTGGAGGAGGCGTTGATCCCGGTCAACAGCGGATCTGCTCTCCTGTGTTCCTGACAGTACTGAACCAGCTGCGCTGCTGCTGCAGAAATCTGACACACACACGCACACACACACACACACAGAGAAAGAGAGAGAGAGAGAGACAGACAGAGACAGCCAAACCGTAATTTAACGAGACCGTGCTATGGTGAAAACCTGTTATTTGGTTAACGCAATACGTTCCTATGCACTCTCATAAAAAAAGTTATAAAGCTGCTACCACTGGGAGGTGTCCCGAGGTACAAAAGCTAATGTGTACCCCTAAATCAGGGGCGTCCAACCCTGCTCCTGGATACCCCCCTGCAGACTTTAGTTCCAACCCTGCTCCAGCACACCTGTCTGTAATTATCAAGCAACCCTGAACACCTTGATTAGCTGGTTCAGGTGTGTTTGATTGGGGTTAGAGCTGAAATCTGCAGGATGGTAGCTCTCCAGGAGCAGGGTTGGACACCCCTGCCCTAAATGGTACATTTTAGTACTTCAAAAGCACACATTAAGACCTGTAGTGTACGTATTAGTTACTATGTAGCCTACACTTAGGTCTTACTTAAAAGATACCGTCACTGAGGCGTTACTTCAATAATAATGCCTCAGTGACACCAACTGTTTTACAGTAAAAACTGCAAATCTAACGGGACATTAAATGTACTTTTACAGTAAAATAACGTGACATTTACAGTTTTTGAATTCTACTTTACATTTGGAACAAATGTTTGAAGGTCAAATTTGAACAGTTTGACAAAATCTGGCACCCTTTTCTCTGTTATCTTGATGGGGACCCTGTGGACTAATGCATCATTTGTTAATGTAATGTTTTAATATTTCTTCATCAGACTTTACAATTGAATGTAAAATAGGTCTGGTAAGGGATTGTTTGCGATGTTTTTTTTTTATTTTATTTTCTCTCTTCTAATTTTGATTGTATTCTTTGTACATATAAAAGAGATGAAAAATTGAAGATTGCAAATCTATCTTCAAAATCTTAGTCTTTCAATAAAACAAACAAAACAAAACAATGTTATATATATATATATATATATATATATATATATTTCATGGATTTTTTTAACAGTGTATATTATTATATTATATTACATTATATTATATTAATTATATTATTGTGCTTGGAAGTCAAGTTTTTTTGTTTCCTTTTTCCCCCTTTTTTCATTTTCAGCCATACACACAAATGAAATGATAAACAACTCAAAAGATACACTCTATAATGCAAGAAGTGTTTTTGTTCTAATGAATGCATCTCACCTTGATTCTCTGTAGTTCTGTCTCTAGTCTGAGCTGCTCCACGGCTCTCCTGGCCTGAAGAACATTATTGCTGCAGTATACGTCCATCACGGCTAGATCAGCGTAGACTTACACTTTGAAAAACGTGTTTATATGAACCTGAGCATAACATATATTACTTGTACTATCTAATGAATGAATAATTAGGTCTGGTAGATGATGAGTATAGCTGTAATTTTACCTCAAGAGTACATTTGGTTTGTTGTGTAGAGCTCAAATATTGTTTCAGCGAGGAAGAGTTGGTGTCCAGCTTTTGGAGGCTTTTATGTCTCAATGGGATATTAAACCCCTTCATCCTCCAACACAAGCACACACACAAACACACACACACACATACAAGCACGCACATACACGCACACACACACACACTCTGCTGGAAGCTTCAAAGCTCCTGTGATGTGGTCGAGTTCTGAGGTCACATCAACAGTGCCAGAAATGTCATGAAAGTTCAGTAGTATTTGATTTCACTCTGGTGGTCATGAAACATCTCTTGAATTTAACTGTGTGATATTTGACTGTTTAATGCATTAAAAAATTATCATACATTCGTTGGTCACTGTATAATAATTATTAATATATGTATTGTAATAATAATTATTACAATACATATTTGATAATAAAATATGTTTAAAATGATTGTCAAAACATTGATATATAATGCTTTAAATTTTGAGTTAGCTGACTTTAACTGTTCTTTATATATATGCTCTTTCGGGTCATTTATCCGCCCCTTTATACAACATTAATGGCATCATAATATCCTGTTTTAATTCCAAACTTAGCATATATATATATATATATATATAACAAAAGCAGTCCATTCCACTCAACGC